CTCATAATAATAATAATAAACCAATGGGTGATATCATGGTGGCCACAGTTTGCAACACGTAAGAGTGTTTTATGATCTAAATAAAGTGGTCACAGCTGTTGAAAAGCCAATGTGAATAACCAGACCAACGCACAACACCGGTTCCACCAACTTTCACACAACAAACACGTCTTTCTGAATGACTTTGAGCTACACTGTACCAGTGGTGCCTCCCAGAGTCACAGAATAAAACAGTCATAGAAACATCACTGAGTCATTAAAAACAACAGGCAGAAAAGCTCGTTGAGTGTTTAACACAGCAGAATCAACCAGGTTCAAAAGTGCATTTGTCATTTCTTTGATTCTCAGAGTATAAAAGCTGACGGAGTGTCCATAACCACGTCAGTCTGCTACCTGTAATAATAAAACATGATGGCAAATCTGCATTCAAAGATGTCCTCTTGCTTTCTCTATATACAAACAGATAAAACTTCAAGTCACATGACCGACACTCAGGACAAGACACGGTTATGGACAGTGTGCCGAGCTGGGGCAGAAACATGTATGGGTTCAGCTCTATGGTAACCATAAATATAAACGGATCACTGTTGACATTCACTGATTTATAAAGTTTTCAATGCATACAGTATGTACAGATTTCTCTTTATAAACAGCCAAGTGGAATGTAGTTTGATTTACATCAGCAAAGGCAGGTGAAGGCAGAGCTTTTCATCATTTACAGAGCATTCACCTTTTTATCACATACAGCTGTGGTCAGTTTACAAACTCTCATTTTGGACTTCAGTGATTTCTTTCAGCCGTTCTTTTTCCAGGGTGGACTGCTTATACAGTATGTGTCTTTAACAACTTAAAAAAAAAACAAGAAGAAGAATTGGGTGTTATTTTGTATTGTTGGGTATTATTATTTTTTATTTTGAATTGTCTCCAAAGGGCTTCAGGTCAAGTTTGCAGACGTCTATTTCGGAGCGGGGTCTTCTTTCTCGGTCAGCACTCTCTCAGTCCATGGCGATGTAAAACTCACTTCATTGTGGATGCTGTTATTAGCAGCTGTTATTAGCAGCTGTTAGCAGTTCATAGCAGACCTGACCCTCAGGTTGCTCCTGAACATCCTAACCAGTTGTGTCTCATTTCAGAATGACAGCTCGACTCTTCTTCCAGACATCGGTGAGGCGGTGAGACACTGGAATAACTTGTACTTATGTACAATTGTTGAACTGATGATCTTGAAAAGTGTAGTTGTTTAGGAATGGGTCCAATGGACGTTCCCAACTTGTGTAAATTCACAGTTCTCCTTCTGCGACTTCCCATTGTTCTTAGTAATGGATGATGCAGTGAGTGCTGTCAAACAAAAACTTTATGCTGACAGAGAGAAACTAACAATTTTAGTCAATAACAATCACCAACAGAGTGCGTGTGTGCATGTGTGTTTGAGCCTGACTGTATCCTTGTCAACATGTACGATGTTTCAGTGTTTACAATGATTCAGCCCTGGGAAAAAAACTAGTTCAAAGAAATACAAACCCTAAATGACTTCACATTCATTCACACGATGAATGTATGAAAACTTTGACCACAGTTGTATTATTTCAGTTGAATTTATATACAGCCTATATTTTTCACACTGGTGTTAAAGGAGAGAGAAAAGCAGCCCGTAGAGATCAGAGTGTATCAAACAGCTTTCACATCAGTCTTCTTTCCCGGGCTGCCTCTGCCAATCAGAATGTGACTGCACCACACTGTGGCACATATTGGTATTACATCTTTAATCCACCACAGTACAGAGAGCAACTACAGTTCAACATGCATGGAAGCTGGAGAAAGGTCAGCACTGCCATCTATTAGGAACATGTAGGATTATGATGATCATATTGGGCATTAATCACAGCCTTGATTTCTTTGATTGTTGAGTCCCAAAGTGTGGTTAGTTGCAGCCTAGACAGCAAAGCAGGTACTGCAGGTGGACCACAGGTCATTAATTCACCTTTAAAGTGTCATTAAAAATGTTCAACAAATTATTAAAATTAAATTAAAAATAAATACATAAAATAAAAGTATTGATTAATTAGAGAGATTTCTATATTGATCAATTTTTGAACTGGTTGTGTTTTATTTCTCGGTCTCTGAGTGACTCAGTTGACCAAAAACCTCGTCGGTGGCAGAGAATTGGAAGAAAAACTATTAATGGAGGATCAACAGCAAGAGAAGCAAAATGAATCCACTAAACCCAAACACCTGGTCCCAGATCTGCTCTGCTCGGGGACAAAAGACACCGTGTTGATTAAAGGTTTGTGTGACCCACAGAAGACTTTCAGATTCCAATGCAGCATTTTTCAATGTGAGAACAGCTGGTCCTTTAACACCAGTGTGAACCATTTATATACCATTAAATAAACTCACTGTACAGGTCAGTAAAGTGACCCGTTTTCATTAAATAAGCCCTCTGTGATTTAAAATGAAGTGATAAACAAGTTAACCAGAAACGAGACAACCCCAAAAACAGAGCGTTACTCCTGTGTGATGTCTCACATAGTAACTCACTTTTTGCTGACAAAAAACCATCAGATTAGTGTCATATGATTGAAGAAAAATCAAAAACGTCATTTTAAAAATCACCACTGATTATGAGTAAGCCTTCGTCCCTAAATGATGATGCGCAGCCCCCCCT